TGTAATTTTTTTAATTTGTATACATTAATTTGTTTTTAGTTTTCAAAAATGATTTTTCATGTGTTTTCCTTATTTTTAAATTATGTGGCAACTGGTAATTCATGTTTTTTACTTTTATATCTTTTTATTTTGTACTTTGTTTTTAATTTGTTTGGTTTTTTTGGGAACACGTTTTTTTATGTGTTTTATTTATTTTAAAATTACGTAGCAAATGCTAATTTTTGTTTTTATTTTTTTATTTTTTGGATGCTGTGTATTTTTGTGGTCCTTTTTTTTTAATTTACTTTTTTGACTTAATTTATTTTTATTTGTATACATTAATTTGTTTTTATTTTTCAAAAATAGTTTTTCATGTGTTTTGTTTATTTTTAAATTACGTGAAAAATGTTAATTTCTGTTTTTATTTTTTTATTTTTTGGATGAGGTGTACTTTTGTGGTTCTTTTTTTTTTATTTACGTTTTTGTCATTTTTATTTGTATTTGTATTTGTATACAGTAATTTGTTTTTATTTTTGAAAAATAGTTTTTCATGTGTTTTATTTATTTTTAAATTACATCGTAAATGCTAATTTCTGTTTTTATTTTTTATTTTTTTTCAACTTTCTTTGTTTTTTCTGGGAAAATGTATTTTTTGGAAAAAGATTTTTTTTTTTTTTACTTTGTGTGTACTAAGGCAATGCCCCTCTTTCATGTGAGAGTAGTTTGTAAGTTTACCTTGACATTGTGAGTTACAAAGCACCTGACAAGCTTTTGTTTTCATTTAACTAATTAAACTTTTTTCGTTCCGTAATGACTAAAATAACCCAACATTCCCTTCTCAAACGACACCTCCCTAAAGTTAGTTAACAGCTCTACTAGAACTCTCTACCAAATTTCTCTAACTAAAAGGTCAGACTAAAAAAAGTAATTGATAAACGAATTTTGGGGACCAATTTTTAGGCCTTAGCTGGAACATTGATTGACTACAAAACAAAAGGAGTTGACGCGATGTGTAACCGCGCCCACGAAGGGTGCGTTTGATCATTGGATTTTTTTTTTCGTTAAAAAAAATCAAAAAATTATTTAAAATTTTTAGAAATAATTAAAGATTTCTTTCAATTTTCTTTATTTTTATAATTTTTTTATTATAAAAGTCTAAAAATTATTCTCAAACACTTTAATTTTTTAAACTCATATTTTAGTAAAAAAGTCACTTTCTAACGTTACTTACTAAAATGCTCTTTTTGTCAATTTGACTTAACAAAATATGACAAATAATTTAAATTGAAAATAAATCAAAATAATAACATTTAAATTGACAAAAGAGTAGAATCAAAATTTATGATTACAAGAGACAAATCTTAGGAAAAATTGATGAAAAATTCATCTCAAAGAGGTACAAGGAATTAGATGTAAAGTAAAATTTTGTTCACTACCGAGGGTGGTGATGAAGTGGAAATGTGCCTTCCTACCACAAAGGTGAGTAGGGATCGATTATTGGGGGCACAATTAGCGGCCTGTTTTTTCAAACGGTTGAAGCTAACTACGTTGTACTCCGTTCGCGACTCTGCCTCCTATGTTGGAGGATGATGCATTCCTTTCTTGTTCCGATTGTGGGTCTCTTCCTTTGGGTTGAGTTAAATCTGGCTGGCAACCGGCTATTTCAGGGCCCATGGATGCTATGATGCCCCTATGGACTGTCCTTTTTTTCTTAGTTCAAAAAAAAAAAAAAAAAAAAGGTAAAATCATATTTGGTGATAAGGACACACTGAAAAAGGTCGACGGAAAAAGTCACCAGCAATGGAAAAGTCATCGGATAGGTTCTTGGTGAAGTAGATAAATATGTGATATTCAACAAATAGGTTGTTAAATGAGTAGCATGTGTCATATTTTAACAAATAATTAGTTTGATGAATTTCAACAGATAGACAGATAGTTATTCTTTTGAACAAATTGCGTCCTTTTGACCTAAAAAAAATTAGAACTTGTACCTAATGACCCAACAAATTTAAAAATAGACTTATGATCTGAATGTCCTAAATTTTAAGTTCATTTTTTTAAAAAACTTTTAGAAAATGAATGAGATATTATATTTTACTAGTTCATAACTAGTTAGTGGTGTGCATCAAATGATGTAGGGTGCGAATGGGTGCGGTCGCACACTTAAAATATGTAAAAATTATGTATATTATATTAATAATTAGTAAGATAATTTTAAATTAAAATATTTATACTCTCAAAATTTCAGTAGTTTGCACCCTCCAAATTATTTACATTACAAAATTTTGAAAATAGTTTTTAAATTGAGTTTTATCAAATATTGATCTATTCCATTTGTTATTTGTATTTTTTGTTATATTTCTATATGAAAAATTTATTAAAAAATCATATTTCAAGTACTTGTAACCCAATTAGTTCATTATATATTCTTATATTCTAATAAATACTATTATTTTGAACATTCGATCTATCAAATCTTAATTCTCATATTTAAGATATTTTATGATTAATTTTACCCTTGCAAATATTTTCTAAACCCTTAAAAATTTAGTGATGTGAACATTCACATTAAATAAATTTGATAGTACAAATGTTCACATTTATAATGTGAATATTAATATGCGCTTCACCTTATTATTATTAGGATATTTTGCCTGTGTTTGGCAAGGGCTTTTTCAGGTTTTTTTGGCTATTTTAGCCACAAAAAATAAAATAGGCTATTTTAGCCATAACAAACAAAACATCACATCCAACCTATAATCATTACATTCTTCTTTCACAAAAAAAGTCAAAAAAGCCAAAAAGTCAAAAAGCCCTTCCCAAACCAAGCTTTTTAGCCCAGGCTAAAATAGCCAAAAAAGCCAAAAAGCCAAAAAGCCAACCCACTTCCCAAACGGAGTAACTATATCATCATAAAACTTATTAAAACATAAAAAAACTAATTTGAACTAAATGGAACATAGGTAAATGAAGAGATATTTATAAATAAATGCCGCTCTATATTGTTTAGAGTTACTTTTATTATTTTATTTATTTTTATTCATTACTATTCTTGTTTTATGTTCATATGTTATTTATATTTTTTTTTCTTTTATAAATCAAACTTTAATTAGTTTATACATCTTATTTTGCATTCAATCTTATTTGTTCATTATCTAGAAATAGGAATATTGTCTGAAAACAAAAATATTATTTACTTTAACATGACATTCTTAAAATAAGTTCATAAAATTTACTACTGCTTCCCGAAAAAGATTATCATTATACTCATAAAAATAGACATTTTCAATTATAAATTTTTTTCAAAACTAAACTGTGTAACAAGATAGAAAGATGATTTTGTAATAAGTTAGTTGATTATATTTATTGAGAAAAATATTAATTAAGGTTTTAATGTCGAACTTAACATAAATTTTTAGGAGATTTGATCAAAACACCATCATAATAAAATTTTAATACATTAAGGACAAGCACAAAAAGTTTTTATTGAAAAGTCCAACACATACTATTATTACCAAAATATACTTAGTGAGTAATTTAATATTTTAAATTTTAAAATAATATAATTTTTGATCTAGATGCCGATTTTTAATAAAATACTTTGCATGGTTTCATTTTTCCAAAAACACTTTTCAGAAAATTCTACTTTTTTGTTTTCAGTATTTTTTTTTGTTTTTATTGAATTTTTAAAATATTTTAAGCATTTTTTTAATTTTTTAGACATACCTAATATAAATATACCTAAAAAGTAAAAAAATTGTGAAAAAAACCTTTTAAAAATTCACTAAATATCAAAAATACAAAAAAAAAATGAGAATGCAGTACATTTTTTGTATTTTTATGTATTTATAAATTTTTTAAAATATTTTTTCATAAATTTTTTACTTTTTAGATACATCAGAGTAAGGTGAATCTAAAAAAGTAAAAAAAATGCTTAAAATTTTAAAAATATTCACTAAAAACAAAAAATACGAAAATAAAAAAACTCAATTTTCAAAAAACTTAATCCAAAAAACTCAAATCGAGCACACTGATTAGTATTTTTAGAATCTTTTTATCAAAATCTATCAAATATGTTTCATGTTGACTACGAAATTCTTAAAAAAAAAAAAAAAAACACCGTCGAAATTGATGTAAACAGTAATATGTTATTTTGATTCACAGTAACATTTTACTGTTACAAAAATTATAGTACATACTAGATGAACCAACAAAAAATATACATGCACAACATTTTTAAACTTATATAAAATAAAATAAAAATGTTTCTCGTCAAAAGAGTTCTGTGAGATATATATATATACAAAGAAAAAAAAAATTTAAATCTATTCTTACTCAATCATGCGCATCCTCCTTAGGAAGTTTATGAAACAAAATAAATTGAGTTATCATTTTCACCAAATAAAGGTTCAATGGAGGGGTTTGATTAAATTTTCCTAAATTATATATATATATATATATATATTATAAAAAGTGGTGATTACAAGATTTTCAAATAGTTAGTTTTAGTAGATGAAGACATAATAGTTAATATTTTGTTAAGTTAATGCAGACAAAAAAATGTATGTTCAATTATATTTTTGTTCTCAATTAGGTTGACCAAGAATATCCAATTAATAGTAATATTATTTATTTTTTGTACTGGTATAAATCAAAATTTAAAATTTTATAATAAATTTTTTTGATAAAAAATTATATATATTTTCTCCCTTAAAAAAGATTATTGATTGATTTTGATACATTACATAATTATACTCTAAACCAATCACAAATCTTTATATCTTCTTATATTTTTCAATCATTTAATATAAAATTATAAATCCTACCCCAACCAATCACAATATACATATATATAAAGTCCCGCATAACATGCCTGAACCAATCAATAACTTTTTCCACACCACACCAAAATCACCTGACAGGCTGTATGCCACTATTAATTTAATTAATTAGTTTGGCAACACTATCCTCCTTCTCCACCGACCCCTTATCTCTTTCACCCTATAAATACCCCCACCCTCAGTCTCCCTTGCTCTTCAGCTTCAGTTCATCTCTACAGTCTAGAGTTCCTTCCCTACCATATATATAGGCCATACTTGTCCTCTATTTTCTCATCAACCTAATCAGAGAGAGAGAGAGAGAGAGAGAGATGAAACTTGCTCTTGCAGCTTTCCTTATGGTGTCTCTTGTTCTGAGCTCTTTTCTCCTCCAGACCGCAATGGCTGGTTCTAGTAAGTTACTTCACTACTCTCTTCTTCCTGTTCGTCTTCTTCTTCTTCACTACATTCCCATATTTTTCTCTCTTATTTTCATAAAGTGAAAGCAATTCTTTTCAAAACAGCTTAAGCTGACAGTGTATTGTTGGGAAGGTGGACTCTGATAAGTACGGTTTACTCAATTCTATTGTTCACTCAAATACTAGGTTAAATGGAGGGTTTGGGGGTCTCTCCGAGGGGGAGGGGGAGAGGGATTCAGGGGGATTTATTCTCGGCCAAATTTTTTTTTGATACTTTCGTAATTTTCATATTGTTTCCGTTTAATTCTAATTTTATACTTATAACTAATTTTATACTTATAAATAGATGATGGACGCCTCTTTTAAGTTAAGAGAGTTATATTTTTTTGATTATAGTGAAAATCATAGCAACCGTAGACATAGCCTTATTCTAGAGTGAATCACGTAATTCTTTATGTTTTTATGTGTGTGATTTGTTTGATTATTTTTGCTTCCTTATTTGTTATTTCGCATCTTGATTAGAAATGGTCAATTCCTAACATGTGTCTACTCAATGGCCTTGTTTGGAGAAGGCTAAAATTGAGTTTTTTAGGTTAAAATTTACAACAAAAAAAATAAAAATAAAATACGTTAAAATAGTCAATAAGATAAAATATCACATTAAATTCATAATTATTTTATTTTTTCTCTCACAAATATCACATCCAATGACAAAAATATTTAACTATCTTTTCAAACACAAAAATTTTAATCTACTAAAATAGTCAAAAATTAAAATAGCCAACTAAAATAACCATCTTCCCAAACAAGGCCATTGAGACCATAAACTTGCATGCCCAAAAATAATAAAAATTATATTATCTCCGTCTCAAAATATAGTTTCCTATTCCAATTTTTATTGTTTCAAAATATTAGTCTATTTTTAAAAATTAAAGACTAAAATACTATAAATTTCTTATTTTGTCATTCTTTTAAATTCATTGACACAAAAATTACAATTATGACAATTGATATTTTTGTAAAAAATATACTATCAAAGAATAATTTAAAAAATTAATATTTTTAAAATAGAATAATTGTACTAACAAAAAAAAGTTAAATATTTCAAAAAAGACTATTATTTTGAGACGAAAGGAGTAATAAAAGCCACAAAAAAACTATTGATTTAACACAACACTACCTAAGATTAGATAATTTGTACATCAAGTGGTTTCTCTTCTATGTTTTAATTTATATTTGTTTTTTTAAACGAGTGTAACAAAATTGTGTGCTGAAAAGAATGTAGTACTTTTAATTTTAAATTTATGAACATGCATTTTTTACATCTGATTTTGATAATGAATGGTGAAGGTTCGTGTGACTCAAAGTGCGGGGTTCGGTGCGCGAAAGCGGGTGTAAAGAACAGGTGCTTGAAATACTGTGGGATTTGCTGCCAGGAATGCAACTGCGTGCCTTCTGGGACTTATGGGAACAAGCACGAGTGCCCTTGCTACAGGGACAAAAAGAACTCCAAGGGCCAGCCCAAGTGCCCCTAAATAACACACCTTCATTTCTCATCAAGAGATTATTATGTATAAGGCTACTACTATAAACATATATAGGTGTTATCTTTTAGGGTCGGGTAATAAGTGGGGTTTCTTTGGCCCCATTGGTTTATGTATGATGTTTGTGTTTGTGACTATGTTCCTATCTCTATAATCAAGGTCCCCTGATGCTTCTTTTATCTGCAGTTTTGTGCGAGTATGACTTTTTCAACTGGTAATACAATCATATCTATTCGTTTGATGTTACCTCTTTAAAGAATTATTTAAGATGATTTAAATAAGTATATTTTTTAATTTTTTATAAAATATGCGTAGAAAAGTAAAGTGGGATGTGACTTAGGCCAAGTTTGGCTACTCAAAATAAGTACGTACTTTTTATCTTTTTATCTTTTTTCCATCACATCACCTCTCTACTTTTCTGCACATCTTTTCGTAAAAAGACAAAAAGTGCACTTATTTAGGTTATCCCAAACAACCCCTTAGTACACTTATCTAAATTAGTGTACTTATATTTATCATGCCAAGCAATCTCTAAATCTTAAATTTTAAATAATTTAAATTTATAATAAAATGATTATTCTCTTAAATTGACCAAATGACTATCCAATGCACGAAACACATATTGAATAAAAAAAATAGACAAATTAAGGGTTGTTTGAGAAGTGTTAGATTAATTTATTTTTTGATTTTTTATAAAATATATATATATATATATATATGAAATGTGAGATGAGATTGAAATGATGTGATAGCAGGTCTGGCCCTGAGATTTTCGAAGCTTAAAGTCAATAATCAATTAATAAATTTTTGAGGCTCTTCACATTTTTTTCATTGAATGAAAAAATTTTTTTTAAAAAAAATTGAAGATAAAAGACAAAAGATTTGTGTCAAAATCACAAAAAATACTTAGTATTACATTACAACAATTAATATGTGTCGCTTGATACTCGCTCTTCTTGCATTTTTAGAAGCAAATAAATCAGTCATACTTGCATAATCTAGTTTTTTTTGTAAAATCATTTTCAATGGATAATAATGCTAATTATTTTAAATGAGCCTTTTAATTTTTTAATGGATCAATTTATTTTAAGTTAGTTTGGGTCTTCTGTAATTTTTTTTGGATTTAAAACATACCTAATAGATTACAATAAATTATAATAGGAGGAAATCCTTTTTTTAGGGTCTATTTTCAATGGATAATAATGTTAATTTTTTTGAATGGGCCTTTCAATTTTTTAATGAGTCAATTTATTTTAAATTAATTTGGGCCTTCTTTAATTTTTTTTTAAACTTAAAAAATACCTAATATATTACACTAAGCCATAATAAAATGACCCATTTTTTGGATCTATTTTGAGGGGTCCTAGGCCATGGCCTTGTTGGCCCATGCCCAGGACCGGCACTGTGTGATAGAAAAGTAATATAATTTAAATAAAAAAATGATATAACTTAAATAAAATTATTATAATTTAAATAAAATAATATACTATAATAACATGTGTTATTTAATCAAATATGAAACAATCCCCATGCACCCAAAATAAAATGTTGGCTGGTAGATGAAAGCTTGAAATACAAGTTTGGAATGGAATCTGGGCATCGTCACGTGCAGCAAACGATGTTACAGAAACTTTGTTTGGTAGAGCGGGGGGTCCACTCTGCATAAACAATTTTCTTTTTTTTTGTTTTGTTTTACATTTTGGATCTATTATCTCATCTCTGCGAGATCCACGTGAATTTGTTACTGAAAAAGCCAATGAATGGGGCTTGTTTTGGTTTTTGAATTTAATTTTTTAAGAAAATTTATTAAAAAGTGTTATTTTGAGAATTTTTGTATCATGTGGTCCCACCCCTTAAATGATTGACTGAGAAATTTTTATTAAGGCTAAGGTTAAGTTTGGCTAATTTAAAAAAGTATACTTATTTTATCTTTTTATCTTTTTTGGGTCACATCAATCAACATCTCCTCTCTACTTTTTCTACACATAATACAAAAAAAGTCAAAAAGTGCACTTATTTAGTCTTCTTAAACTTGGCCTAAGTTTGACAACTTTAAAAAAAGTCAAAAAATTATTTAAAAAGTTATCACTATTTACAAAAAAAAAAATCAACAATGTTAGAGGACCACAATTTTTGTAGCTACAATGGCTCAAAATTGTCAAAACGACGTCGTTTTGGCATATTTTGCACTCAAAACGACGTCGTTTTGACAGTTTTGAGCTATTGTGGCTACAAAAATTGTGGCCTTCAAATATTTTTCAAAAAAAATATTAAAAAAATAATTTCTCACACATCATACAACTCTGCCATAATGAAAAGTCAAAGGGACTGTGGAGCATTTGTCCCAAGTATTGGACAGTTTGGGGCAATTTTTCACATACTATTGTTCGGCCAGTGGGAGCCTATTACGGGTCTCGTTTTGATAATCTAAACCGTTCAATGTGTATAAATCGTCGAGTACTATATATCTGTAACCGTTCAAAATGGGACCCGTGATGGCTCCCACGGGCCGAACAAAACAGTCCACTACAATGCTCAAAAAGTACCCAATAATTTCTTACCAAGAATTCGGCTGCCAGATTGTACCGCTGTCATTCACTCATTTCCAATCTTCTCCTACACACTTCTTTATATAATTTTTTAATACACATTTTCTCATAAAAAGTCAAAAAATTAACCCAAACATCCATATTTTTTTCTCAACTTTTTAGTTTAAAAAGACAAAAAGTGCACTTATTTAAAACACCTCAAACAACCCCTAAGTGTAGTGTGTAATTAGTAAGTCTTTTTTTGGACGTGGATGGGTATTAGTTAGACAGATATATCTTCACTAGTTAATTGAAGAATTTTTTTTTTTTTGATAGATATGATGTGAACTCCAATGTGACAAATATTAATTTGACACACAAATTATGAGATAACGTGGCAAGTATGATGTAATATTCTAAAATTTTTACTCATCCTTGGTGTTCTTTTTTCAAATGTGACAGTGTGATAAGTATGATGTGACATTGCAAAAAAAATAAAAATTCCTTGGTATGCTTTATTCAAAGGTGACAACGTGACGGGTATGTTGTGACACTCTAAGAAAATTAAAAACTTCTTAGTGTACTTTTCTTAAACGTGACATGTGACACTTCAACATGATGGACCTAATTTGATTGAATTACTGCGTGTCTTCACGTCACACGCCAAAAAACAATTAGTAAGGAATTCACGTTCTACACTGTGTGTGTTAAAAATAACCAAACTTTAAAAAGCTACTAAGACACTTTTTAAACAACGTGACACACAAACACCCCACCACCTTCCCTATACATAAAAACTCCTTAATGTACTTGTCCTAAATGTGACATGTGACACTCTAACGTGGCAGACCAAATTTGATTGAATTATTATGTGTTTTCACGTCACGCGCCAAAAAATAATTAGTAAGAAATTCACGTCCCACACTGCGTGTGTTAAAAACAACCAAACTTTAAAAAGTTACTAGTGTACTTTTTGAATAACATGACACTAACATCCCACCACATTCCCCATACATAACCACGCCAATTGTCCCCCAACTGTACTAACAATGACAAAACAGTCAACAAATAATTTAAGGGACCACTCAGTCACCAAAAAAATATTTAGAACCTTATAGATTACGAGCCTACAAAACGGGATGTACTAATCAATTCCATTTTTTTTTTATTTTAGTAAATATTTTAAAAATTTTAAGCAATTTTTTTTATTTTTTTTTAAATGCACCCTACTTAGATGTATCTAAATAATAAAATATTTGTAAAAAAAATTAATAAATACATAAAAATATGAAAAATGCAATGAATTTTGGCATTTTTTTTTATATTTTTGGTATTTAGTAAATTTTTGAAGATTTTTTCACAAATAGTGTACTTTTTAAGTGTATTTATGTTAGGTGTGTCTAAAAATTAAAAAGAAATACTTAAAATATTAAAAAAATTCATTGAAAACAAAAAAATACGAAAAATTAAAATGTAAGATTTTCTGAAAATTATTTTTTCTGAAAATCAAAACCAAATAAGCAGATATATCCAGGATTTCCCACTGTCTGTTTCGTCATAAGGTTAATGACAAATATTATTTTTGTCGTTGGATTCAGTTGTTTTTTTTTTGGTGAAATTTTTGTGGCAATGAATCATCATTTAAAGTGTCCCATAGCTTTAGAGGAAAAGAGAAAAAAAAAAAAAAAAAATTCTCATTCACTAAAAATAAGATAACTAATAAGAACGTAAAATCATATAGATTCTTTTCGTTATGAAATTATTAACTTTGGTCATCACTATTTCATAAATATAATGAAAAGTTCCTATATTTTTTTTAATGTTATGACATTATCAAAATTTATTATTATCAACAATGTATAGTAATGAGTTTTATATCTATTTTTTAATTTAAGGGCTTTGGATCATTAGTCTATTTTTGAATCTTTTTAGACCTAATTGTAGGGAAGTTGTCTCAAACTTCTCTTTCACTATGAAGAAAGAAGAAGAAAAGAGAAGACTGAATTCTCTTGTCTGAAGAGGCCTAGAAGCATTAAGATGGAAGCTCCTATATGATCTGGAAGCAGATGAAGAAAATCATCATGAATTGAAGCTCTTTGATGGTCAATAATGGAAGCTACGGTGAAGTTTCCCGAACGTGTCCGAACGTGGTGAATTTGGCATCACGCTTGTGCATCTCACCCTCGGTGGAAGCCTATAAATAGATAGATAATGAATTGTATTTGGTATGCAAACATTGAATTTAAGAAGAAGGGAGTGGTGCGGAACCAAGAGTGAAAATTGTATCTCTCCAAATATATTGAATTTCCGCTACCCGTGGACGTAGGCTATTACCGAACCACGTAAACTTTGTGGCTGTATTTGGTTGTATTCTCAAAATATATTTCCATCCGTCCATTTGCGCTTCACGTTTGGATACAATTTTCAAATCATAATTCCACCATACAATTCAAAATATATCTTTACTTCCCGTTTGGCCGATTTTTCCCTTCGTTTCTCCACTGTGAAAAGCTTCCAACAGTACGTACTCTGTGTCTTCGGTCTTCTTCATTTCTGAAAAGCTTCACGTGCAAAGAAATTTAAAGCTGAACTTCACGAGTCGTCTTCCTCTTTTTGAACGATCACAACTCAAGATTCTTCACGGGTCGTGTTC